TTTTTTTTTTGTGGAACCAGGGATTGAGCTCGGGCCCTTGCGGAATTGGGGATTGAGCTGGGGCCCTTGCCAGGCAAGCATTTATTCCACTGAGCCATCCTCCTGGCCAAGTCAACAACTTCTGTCATTGCCAGTCTTATGGAAAACCCACTACTGTTATGGACTATTGGATTATATTGGAATATTTTGCTGAATTCAGGTACCTACAATATTTAAATTACAATGGAATACCCTTCTCTGGCAAAACTAAACAAAAAAGGGGGATAGAAATGAATGACCATTTTGTATCTGTATGTTGAAAATAGTTAAGATAGATACACAGCTGCATTCTCTTGGATCAGTGAATGAGAAATTTGTTCTAATAGTGTTTGTGGACAGGATATTGTGTCTGCATTTTGTACAATGAATAACCATTAAGACTGCAATGTATTAATTATTGAAACTGTGCTAGTAATCGGTTTTGAAACTGTCTTATTGCTATTTATTTCTCAGTAAAATTATTTTAAAAATACAACTTCTTTCTTTTTTCTTTTCTTTTCTTTTGCAGAACTGGAGTTGAACTCAGGCTCTTGTGCTTGCTTATTCTACTGAGCTATCTCCCTGCCCCCAACAATTCTTACATTTTGATCTAAGTGTCAAGATTTTAAAAAAATCACAAAGCTCATCATTTAATACTTTTAAAGAAATTCTCACTCCATATTACTATTGATTAAAATATGTTTGCCACCATGGTAGTGTTCTGCATTGGAATCATCTCAAACATAATAGTAAAATATTAAATGATTTTTAAACATAACTTGCCATTTGTTCTGTATTTAAAGTTTTTGTTGTTGTTGTTTCTAAGGAAGCACAAATGACAGAGGAAATAAGGAAGCTAGGTAGAGATTAGCCCGAAGGATGAAAGAACTGCAATACACTCTTATGCCTCGAATTTAGATGTCCCCTCAAAGTTTCATGTCCTTATAGGTGGGTCTTTTCAGAGGTGGTCAGATCTGAGTTGTGTGATACTGGGATTAACAATGTGTGGTGCTGGATTAGTCAAACTGTTTTCTTTCTTTAAATGGTTCCGGGTGTGTCTAATGGGAAGACCCGCCTTGGGTGTGGGCACACCTCCCAAAAGGCTTATATGCTGGCATAGAAAGGAGAGGGAAGCTTGCTTCTGCTGCTGCTGCTGCCGCTACTTACTGCTTTCTGCTTGCCACACGATGGGTAGTTTCTCCTCTGTGATGCTTTTCTGTCACGCTGCCCTATCTTGGAGACAGCTGACTATGACTGAACCCTCTACAAACTGTAAGCTGCAGTCATCCTTTCCTTATCAAACTTGTAGATATTAGGTATTGTGTCTTAGGATAAGGAAAAGTGACTAACATAAACAGCAATTTTGAGTTGAAGCCCAAATCATAGGTGAAGAATTGCAACCAGAAGGAGCGCAGCAGTCAGGAACAAGAGTCTGGCATCTAAACAATGCCCCCATCTCTGTGGGAAGAACTGATCCCAACACAGGAAGGATTGGTCAGGCTCAAGAAGGCTGTGACAACTGCCCTGATGTGGCCAGAAGGACCAGTGCAAATACTTGTTTCCAATTTTCAGGGTGTTTGGAGAGTGATGTCATTGCTATTATGATGCATAAAGTCATTTCACACATTGGCTTTATGAGCTCTGTAGAAATTACATATTTGGGATTTGATAAATTATTTTTTCTGATTAGTTTTCCTTACCTTACCCATATTTGATATTCATAAGAGAAGGAATTTTTGGCACATAGCAGAGTTTCACTGAGCAAACATTTAAGGAACACATAAGACTCCAGCCAGAGGAAGTGCTGGAGGAAGTGGGGGGTGGGACACAATATCTGAATTTAGCCTCCATTTCTGTTCCTTTGTTCTTTTTTTTTTTGCAGTCATTTTCCCACATGGACACAATTTTATTGTTCTTGTTTCCAACTGTCATGGCTCACACCTCTCTGGTTGTATCAGAGGCCCACAATTTATTTTCCAGTCTCTTTTTTGTGCTGTGACATTCTGACAAATGAAATCTCCATTCCAGCGTAAAGAACACTAATGTTTGGTTGATGGGACATGAAGAAGTTCCCTGAAATTCCCCTGGTAACTATGAGGGAAAGAGTCCAGTTTCCACATCTATGGGCCATGGAAGGACTGAATTATAGCTTGACTCCTGCATTAGGGAAATTCATATTCTTCTGATTCTACACAGCAAGAATCAGAACCAGAACCAGAATTTTTCTAGGCTTCTGGACTTTCAAGTTTCTCACAGATGGACCTCAGCTTGGAAAAGCTACCAAGGGGCTACAATCACACCTGAGACCTCTTTCAGTTATGGGCAGCAGGCTGGCCTCCTGCTGTGGTGATACCACCCCCCCCCCGGTCCCAGGGACCACTGAGACTTCTCTTACTGTCTTGACTACAACTGCACCAAAATTATCATAATAAAAGTTATAGTTAATACGTGCTGAGAATTCACACCTACTCTTTTTTACACCTGGAAATATGGATGCAGCATCAGGAAAAGTCACATCCAGATTGTCTCCTAATGTTGAACAGACTTGGGCCATGAAATGGCACAGTAGAATCATGAAAATGAACAGATGTCTAGTCACTGAAGAAATGTTGTCAATCAGGTGTGGTGGTGCATGGGTGTTATCCCAGCACTCTGGGAGGCTGAGCAGAGGATTCTAAGTTGGAGCTTCTCCTGGAAACTCAGCAATTTAAAGAGACCAAGTCAGTCTCAAAATAAAATATTATTAAAGAGGCTGAGAATATAGTTCAGTATGAAGTTTCTGAGATCAATATTTGGTACTACAAAAAACAAAATATAGTTTGTCTATAATATTCATGACAGGAAATGTTTAAGACATGTTAAGTGAAAAATATGACACAAAATTCTATGTGACACAAAATTCTATCCTATTTATTTTAGGATTATCTTAGGCATCGTAAAAGAAATATAAACACATTCTCCAAATTACAATGGTTATTTCTTGATGACAGAACCATAAATGACTTTTTTCTTTCTTCCTATGCTTCTCTGACTTTGTTGTTTTCATTTTACTTTGCTTTCAATGATCTAAATGTGGGTACCTATAGTGAAGGCCAAACATGCAGCAAAGTAAATGGCCAGAGAACCCACAACAACTATCTGGCACTGAGTCATTTGGGACCCAGAGCTTGCTCGGCACTGCGTGGTTGATGACAGATGTCCAGGGAGACTGGGCAAGAGACCACTTGTGAACAGAACCTAAGGAGAAATCTTTTTTAGAGCCCCTAACTGGGGCAAGAGTTGGGTTTGGAAATCAGGATGCTTTTTCTGAGTGGCAGCAAGGTACAAGAGGCCAACAGAACCTCATGAGCATGAGGATCCCTAAGAAATACGGCTGCATTTGGGGACATTGGTATCACGTGATGAAATAACTTGGAGACCTCGGCTCTTTTTCCTGGCTCTTCACAGTCCCCATGCCAGATTGCACAGGAGCTGTGAACAGGAACACATGTGTTGGAGAAGGTCTGTGGGAGAGGCCCAGGATTGCAGAATTTGCTTTGCTGAACAGGAAGAGGTCCAAGAACACACCAAAGACAAACATGAACAATGTATCCTCAAGCACTTGTTTTCCTGGAGATGAAAACTGCAGTTGATGATGTCCAGATATCCGGCTCCAGCCTCTGGGAAACTCAGCCCTGTAGTT